TTTGGGGGGGTACAGTTGTATGAATTTTCACACATATGTACATTTGTGTGACCACCACCAAAAGCAGGACACACAATGGTTCCATTACCCAGGATATTCCTTTGTGCTATTCCTTTAGAGTCAAATTCTCTCCTCCTCCCTAACCCTGGTGAATGCTGATATGTTCTCCACCACTACAGTCTTGTCCTTTTGAAATGTCATATAAACAGAACCACAAAGTACGTCGCCTTTTGGGACTGGCTTTTTGCACTCAGCATCATGTTTTTGAGATGCATCTAAGTTATTATTCTCCACCACTACAGTCTTGTCCTTTTGAAATGTCATATAAACAGAACCACAAAGTACGTCACCTTTTGGGACTGGCTTTTTGCACTCAGCATCATGTTTTTGAGATGCATCTAAGTTATTACATTTATCAACAGTTCATCCATTTTCCATTGCTGTATAGTATTCCACTTCACGGATGTACTATGGTTTGTCCAACCATCATTATTTTTAATACTTATTTTCACAAACCAGGGAAGATTTCAAAAATGGAACCAGCTGCCCATCACTCCTGGATTCTAAAACTCCCTGGGAAAATATCTGATGGCTGAAATGTCCTAACCCATTTGCAAGGGACCCAGGAGCCCATTTATGCCTCACACTTGATAGACACAGGAACAAAAGCCCACGGATAACTTCCTTAATCTCACACAGAACTAGGTTAGAGAACAGGCCTCCTGGGCCGGCCCCGTGGCACACTTGGGAGAGTGCAGCGCTGGGAGCGCAGCGGCGCTTCCGCCACGGGTTCGGATCCTATATAGGACTGGCCGGTGCGCTCACTGGCTGAGCGCGGTGCGGGTGACACCAAGCCAAGGGTTGCGATCCCCTTACCGGTCAAGAAGGGTAAGAAGAAGACCTGGCTGAGCGCGGTGCGGGTGACACCAAGCCAAGGGTTGCGATCCCCTTACCGGTCATGAAGAAGACAAAGGGTAAGAAGAAGACAAAAAAAAAAAAAAGAAAACAGGCCTCATTTCTCTTCTCTGTATGAAACACATTCCACACCCTGAGAGGAGATGCCACTAAATGCAAGGGCTCTTTTGCAGCCTTCCTCCTACAAGCCGACACACAGTTCTAGCACTGTGCAGCCCTGCCCGCTTCTTTGCAACTGCTCTTTCTACCACCTGCCATAGAGAAGCATTAATCCCAGAAAGCCCACCTGATCACAGACCAAATTTCCCTGCCTGAGACTGCACACACCACATTGAAGAGGAAGTGATAATGGGCAGTGAGCGCCAGCTGGAACCGACCATGTCTCTAATGGATTACAGCATTTCAGTAATCATTAACAGCCACCACTGCAGTCTTGACCCAAGTCAGACCAACCTCCCAGCTGGTCATTTACTACTTTGTACCGGATTCTCTATAGCAAGATGAAACTCTGAACCACTCCCCCTGGGGCCCCAGGGTTCTGTCCTTAACTGGCCCCAGACACAACCCTAGCTCCACATCATTTTGTCCAGAGGAAGAGAAGCTCGGGGCCAAAGGGTTCTCATAACTCAGCTCTAAGCTAGAAGAAGTTTTCCTAGAACCACAGGCCTCTTATGAGGCAGTGGATGAGAAGGGACCCCCAAGAGGTCATAGAAGGGAGGAGAAAAAGAAAGAGTGAGACAAAGAGCGAGGCCCCCACTCCCACCCCCAGGGCCACGCCCTGCATCCTGGCAAGGGGCCCACCCTGCTCCCGAGTGCCTGGCTCGCTCAGGGGAAAACAGCTCCCTCCCCGAGAGGCTGAATTACGGTCCCTCCATCGTGGCATTTCATCTGGAGCCTGAGCATATGAGTAATTGATGTGTGAAAACATGAAACTAATATTCATGATTACTTTACAAGATAAAGAACTTGAAAGAAAAACAGCTTCTGTGTGCCGTGCCGTCACCATCAGGGGTGCTCTGGGAAAACAGGGCATCTCGCCAGAACCCCAGACTTCATCTCCCCGCAAGCCTCAGAGGCCCTCGGCCCCCGCCTGCAGCGCCACACTCTGCTACTCCTTAATTAAGTGCCTGCAGCCATCCAGTCATCCCCCCACGATGCGAGGCCAACACAGCCAACCGTGACCTCTGACCTCCCATCTCCAGCATCCAATCAGTGCCATTTTAGCCAACGTTTACTAAGTGTCAGCTGGCCCAGGCCTCTAGCAGGGGTGATGGTCGCCCCATTCGTGATCTCCTATCCCTCTCTCCCCCACCGCATTGATCCCAACAAGGTTCAGACTCTCTTTTCTCCACCCCCCCCCTTTTTTTTGTATTGAGGTACAACTTAGGTGCAGTAAAGCACACCAATTTTAAGTGTCTGGCTCACTGTGTTTTGGGCATGTACACACGTAGATGAAGATCTGGGATGTGTTTCCAGCTCTCAAAGAGCTCCCTTGTGCCCCTGCTAGAAAATATCCTCTCCCAAGTTATGACTTTTTTTTTTTTTTAAACTTCTCAATATACATTGTAGTTGATTTTCATGACCCTTTACCTGTTCCTCTTCCCCCTTCCCTCTTTTATCAGAGATTTGTTTTGAGTCCAGGCTCTTTGCTCTCCCCAAAATTACCACTAATTAACTTTTTAATTATTGACTGCCTCCTTCTGGACTCTGCTTTTCTCAATTTATCTGTCCTATACTGCCACAGATTTATAATCCTAATTTACAGCCCAAGGGTCCTTGGAAGGCTGCACTGCTACTGTATGCAAACCCTAGTGCCCATCCCAGGCCCTCTCACTTCTCCCACACAGAGATCCACAGTCTGAAAGACCTGATCCCTGTGCTGGGAAAAAGTCTCCCACCTCTGGGCCTTCTCTTCCACAGAGTACAACCGAGACTCCCCCTGCCCCAGCTCCGTGTCCGATTTCCACCTTTCAGACCCATCCTCTGAAGCCCATTTCATCAAAAAACCCTTTCACAAACTTCTCACAAAGATCTTATGACTTCTTTGGTAACCACTAAAATATCACTTCTAGATGGCAGCAAACATTATTCTTCAGACCGTACAGCTTCCTATGTGCATATATATGTCTCCTTTCTAGATATTCAATTTCCTGAAGACTGAGCTTCTGGGATTTCTTAAATCAGTAAAGCTTTAAAAAGTTGGGGAAGGAAGGGAATGATCTAGGGTTTCCAACTTCTTATTTGGACAACAGAAAAACAAATCTATCCATTATTAAGACCATTAAAAAAAAAAGACACGGAACTGAAAATAAAAATCGGAGAGAATCTCAGAATAAAATGGTCTGATGATCCTTCAAACTGGACACATTGGTTTATGAAAACTCACCACATGGCCCTCACTTTTCACACTTGGTTAGGCCTGGAGACAATTCTCACAGACTGACTGGCTCCTGTGTCTGAAAACCACTGCCCTGTAGCCCCTGCTACTCAACACGTACACAGAAAGTGCTTAGTAAATATTGAGTTCAACTGATCTAGTCAGAGGAAATCAGGGCTTCAAAGACAAGGAGCATTTCAGCACCGCTTCAATCCCAGCACAGGAACCCAGACACCAGGAGCCCAGCCATGGGGGCAATATCCCAGCAACGAGAAGGACAGCAGGAGCTACCCGCACTCCCACGTGACAAAATCACTCCACAATCCAGACACCTTATAACTCATGTTCCCCTGTGACCGCCCAGCGGAGCCATGGATTTTGCCATCGGCCCAGGTTACTGACTCACTGTCACAAATCTCACCATAGTGCAAAGCATAATAACGAACTTGGAACGTGTGTATTGGGGCCAGTGGGACGGCAGGGCCCCCACAGTGGGCTGTGCAGGTTATGCAAGGCACAGGATGCTGGCTGGAAGAGGGAGCAGAAGCTGAAATCTAACCATGCTGCCCTTGCCAGGCCAGGTGTCCCAGCCTGGGGCGCATCTACCCACAGGAAGAAACGCCCTTTTCTAATTTGCACAAGAACCAAGATTTCATTAATCCAGACACTGAACTTCAAATCAGGGCCCAGAATATGTCAGGTCGAATACATCTATAACGGTGAATTTTATGATATGTGAATTATATCTCAATAAAGCTTTTATCACAATACAGTTGTGTGCACACACATGCTCATCCAAGTAAACCCTTATTCAGAGAGCCAGCAGGGGAGGAGGAGGACTGTAACGGTGAATTTTATGATATGTGAATTATATCTCAATAAAGCTTTTATCACAATACAGTTGCGTGCACACACATGCTCATCCAAGTAAACCCTTATTCAGAGAGCCAGCAGGGGAGGAGGAGGACTGAGTGAAAAAGGGGATATTAAAAATATTTAAAGGAATCATTTTAAATGCCATTTCTACATAAAAGTTCTATTATTTATGTATTATTAAAATTCATTAAACTTGTTTCTTTAAGGATGTCTACCAAGAATTTTTATTTTTATCATTATTTTAAAGTATATCTCACACCCAGCTAACAAAAATCATCTACTCTTCCTTGACGAAGCCAGTTTGGTCTTTTCCCTATTAGTTCAAATTGGATTGGTTTTTATAAAACTTTCAGTTAAAAAGCAGAGAAATGTATAGTGAGCATCAGCTAGCAACAGCTGCAATGTCTATAGATATAAAAATGAAATCTTCTGAACAGCACACAACATCCAAACTCCCTTCTGGTCACCTTGTGTTGGGATCTCCTACAATCTCAGGTAAAAACTGTAAATAAACTTCATTCAGTCATTTATTCAACAAACATTTTATGAAGCACCTACTATGCCCCAAATCCTGGGCCAACTTTCTTGCACATCTTGTATTTCATCAATTTTCAAGTGTACCTCCTGTCTTGGAACCAAGTCTGCATTATGACTGAGTGATCACAGCAAGGTATCAATAGAGTTCATTTTCCAGAATGACAGAATTTTGTGCTCTAAGAATGGGCTGTCGCTCTTACAAGCCTTGGTACCAGCCAGAGGTCTGGCTCCCAGAACAGACTCTCCCCTCCTGCTCAGCAGGGATGCCACATCAGCAGCCAAGCGGCCCTCCTACCTGTATGGTGGTGTTGCCTCCTTCTAGAAGCGCAATGGCCAGGAGAATGCTTTCATGGAACACTCGGTCACTGGATGCATTCATGATGAGGTCGATTACCAGATTGGAGGCCCCCTCCTTGTCAAGGTGACACTGAACCTCGGCCAGACTCATCTCACCCCGGCTCATGGAACTGGATCCAGAACCTCCCCCTAGGAAGACGGAACAATGTCTTTATAAAGCACAAGTACATCCCTAGCGTTTACTGGATCCTCACTATGCACCAACACTTTATGCACTAAAGGCTTTACCTGCATTATCTCCTGTAACCCTCCTAACAACCCCACAAGGAAGGAACTGATTATTAATACAGAGAGATGAAGTCGCTTGTCCAAGGACACACAGCTTGTAAGTAACAGAGACGGTATTTGAACTCAGGCAGGTGAGGGGAGAATGATATACTTCCAGTGAGTGACCTAAAGCCATCCAGCCAATGTATCTCTTACATTAAGATACAATGACTTGGGGCAAAATTATTAAGAACTGGTTTGAGTTTAAAAGACAAACCAAACCTGAACACTTCTTAGGAGACTCCTGAGAAAATTTCTAATAAACCCACCCTAACTCCAAATATACCCTTTCACATAATTTATCTGTTCATTCACTCATTCAACCAATGTTTACTCATTGCTTGGCATGGAGCCAAGAGCTGGGGATAGGAGTGAACAAAACAAACAAAGCTGCCATCTTCTTTGAGCTTCAGATGACATGAATACACTTAGGAAGAGAGGGCCTGTGCCATTTAGCATAGCAGATTTGAACTGCATTTGGAAAGCACATATTTAAGAACTAACCTTGTGTTATTACTGGCAATGACTGAAACATTAATGCTCATGGAGAAATGGACTGACTAATTTCAAAAAGCAGATAACTATCTATCAGTCCTTCCCTGCAGAGCCAGTTTCAAATGCCACCTCCATAAGCCACTTGTCCTTGACTATGGCCCTTGTATCTCTACAAGGTAGAAATTGAGTTGCATGTCTTCTCTGCTACAGCTTCTTAAAGCAGAATCTGTCTTGATGTCCAAATCCCCCTCGTGTAGTCTCCTCAGGGACTCACATATTTGTTGAGTGACCCCACTACAAAAGTAAAGAGAGAGAGTTTTGAGATGTTGCGTGAGGAACTTCTACATGAGAACCACTGGGGATTCTGGGATTGGAAAAGCTGAATTCTGGTCTCTGGCACCTTCACCGAAGCCTGCACGGCTCCATGAACCAAGCATATACACTTCAAATTTACATCTGGTGAGAAATCCAAGCTCCCTTCCTACAAGTTGCAAGGATCAGTTTACTAAACAACAAGTATTTTGCATGGAGCCTGCCGAGGATCTGAAGCTGCCCCACAGTCATCATAAGACAGGGAATCAGACAACTCGAACTTGTGCCTTGAGCACTAAGCTACTGGTTCCCCTGAAAACCCAAGAGAGGGGTTAGGTAAGAGCCACTGTTGAGTTCAATGTTTTTGCAACTTTTACCTGTAATTGTGCTTAAAATGATTTGAAACACCTTTAAAGATTTGTTTTCAAGCACTTCTGTACAGGGAGTTTTTTTTGCAAACTCCCATAAGGGTTTGGGGACACACACGGTGTGAGCATTAGAATGAGATATACAGACCAGCCCCTAACCAGGTTCCCTTTCCTCTGTTAAACTGGGATAATGACAGTACCTACCACATAATGGGTAACTTGGAGAAGAAAATGAGATAAAGCATGCAAAGTGCTTGGGAAAGCCCCTAGCACTCAGTAAGTGCGTAATAGATGGCAGCTTTCACCAGCCTGGCTGCCAATATTCTCGTCATTTTATGGGAAGACATGAGTCCTAATGACCACAGGAAAATGTGCAATAAAATCATGTTCCTTAAGTCATTCAAATATCACCAAGAGGGTCACTGCATGGGAAAGAGGGCAAAAGGTTTAGCCAGTATCTAACTGCAGGGAAATATGTTCAGACATAAATTTGATGGCAGACCAAAGACAAAACAAGTTGCTGAAAAATACACTTGCAACACAAATTCATCTGTTAAGAGTTTCAACCGGTTAAGCAGAAACATGCAGCTATCATGAGACACACTTGGTTCACACATGAAGCTAATTAGCACGCCACACAGCCTACCTCCTCCCCCAGGCTTGCTGGGTCCTCCTGGTGACAGTGGGCCATTGCCAAAGCTGGTAAGGCTCTCTCTTCTTCCTGAAGGTCTGATGTTTCCATAGTAACGGTTGACCAAAATTTGCCTGAGCGCCTCACCCTTAATTCAAACAGGATAATGAAATCAGGTTCTGAATTTAATGCATAACTGAGAGACTGATATTTAAAAATCACAGAGGTACTCAGTTATAAGTGGCCCAGTTCCACTCCGTGAAAAAAACTATTAATAAAAGAATTTGGAAACTCTGAACTTCAATATTTTCTCAGGAAACCAGATCATGTTAAAAAAAAAGAAAAAAGGCAGCAATCTAAAATATTAAATATCTGAAATACCCTTTCACACAGTAGAAAGATACAACAGTAATTCTGAAGGGCAACTAACAATAACAAAAATAAACAAATAAAAATCCCTTTAGGGTAAGCCAATAAAATGCGGACAAATTGAAAATTTTATAGTTCAGCTTCCATACAGCAATACAAAAATGTTACTCTAAGCACAGGGTTTATTCCCAAGGTCCCAAGAAAATATTAACATATCAGAGTAATAACAAGGGTACTTCAAAAAGTTCATGGAAAAATAGAATTAAAAGATAATATGAATCTTTCCATGAACTTTCTGAAGTACTCTCCTAGACTATAATGATACAATAAGCCAAAGGTAAGCCTTTCTTTTAAAAATACTCAATGGACCAATGGTAAAGAAAAAATAATGCTATAGGAAATAAATTAGTGGCAGATATCAAATATTTCCATCAAAACCAAGCATCATGGATGAAATGACATTATGTGGAGGATCTGCTTTAAAATAATATGGGAGAAGGCGAAGTAGAAAGGGTATAAATGAGACAAGAATGGACAGGAGATGATAGTTGTTGAAGCTGGGTTATGAATGGGGGTTGTCAAAACTCTTCCGATTCCTTTTGTATATACATCTCAACTTTTACATAATAAAAAGTTTTAAAAATATGAATATCAAAGGAATCCTGGACAAGGTATATAACAACTCTAACCAAATGTAAATGAACAAAATTTACATTTGTTCACTGTTCCTAGGGCACACAGAAGCAGAATGTACCTCAGTTCTATCACACTTCCAGCCCTGCTGCTAAGGGACTCCCAGATTACCTCTTAATCTGTAAGTTTCTAAAAGTCAAAGGCTGTATGAATTTCCCCTGAACTCTTTCCCAAGGACAATGTAATAAGGCATGGAGTTCCTCTGGTGCATCATCAAGAGAGGTAAGTGAGAAGTCTAGCAGAGGAGAGGTGTTGAAATCTAGCAGGTCTCTAAAATAGAGACTCAAGAGTTCTTTTGAAGAGACCTGCAACTGTAACATGAGTCAGTAGAATCTAAAGTGATTTGTTAATAAGTTCTAAGAATAAGTCTGGAGACTTCAAGTGAGCATTTGCAAAACAAGATGGGAGGGAGCAGATGGGATGGGATGGGGAGGGAAGAAAGGAAGATGACAGAAAAGCTTGGCTCCTGTCAATGGTCAAATTGCATCAAGTCCCAGGGCTGCACTGCAGGTTTATCTCCTTTGTTAATTCATGCCGCTAGTCCAAGACTCC